AACAGACTATCAATTACTCATAGACAGATTCAGGCTGAAGTTGAAGAAAATTAAAACAAGTCCATGCCAGTCAAAATATGACCTTTAGCATATCCCACCTAAATTTAGAGATCATTTGAATAACAAATTTAATGCATTAGACACTAAAGATCAAAGACCAGAAGAGTTGTGAGATGACATCAAGAGCATCATACAGGAAGAAAGCAAAGGTCATTAGGAAGACAAGAAAGAAGGAAAAGCCTAAAATGGATGTCAGAAGAGACTCTGAAACTTGCTCTCCAGCATAGAAATGCTAGAGCAAATGGAAGAAGTGAGGAGTCCTGTACAAAAGCTGAACAGAAAATTCCGAAGGTCAGCTGGAGAAGACAAAGTCAACTATTATAACAAAATGTGCAAAGAGCTGGCATTAGGAAACCAATAGGGAAGAACACTCTCAACATTCCTCAAGCTGAGGGAACTGAAGGTAAAATTTAAGCTTCAGATTGCAATGTTGAAGGATTCTATGAGCAAAATATGGAATGATGCAGAAAGCATCAAAAGAAGATGGAAGGAATACAGAGTCACTGTGTCAAAAGAAATGGTTGGTGTTCAACTATTTCAAGAGGTAGCATATGATCAAGAGTGAAGAATACTGAAGGAAGAAGTTCAAGATGTACTGATGGCACTGGCAAAAAACAAGGCACTGGGAATTGATGGAATACAAATTGAAATCTTTCAACAAAGTGAGGTAGCACTGGAGGCACTCACTCATCTATGCCAAGAAATTTGGAAGACAACTACCTGGCCAACTGACTGGAAGAGATCCATATTTGTACTAATTCTAAAGAGAGATGACTCAATGGAATGTGGAAATTATCAGACAATAACCACTAAAATAGCACACAAGTAAAATTTTACTAAAGATAAATACAATTATGGCTGCAACCAAACATTGACAGAGAACTTCCAGAATTTCAAGACAGATTCAGAAGAAGACATGGAATAAGGGATATCATTCTGACATCAGATGTATCTTGGCTTAAAGCAGAGAATACCAGAAAGATGTTTGTTGTTGTTAAGTGCTGTTGAGTCGGTTCCGACCCATAGTGACCCTGCACAGGGTTTCCGAAGCTGTAAATCTTTACGGGAGCAGAAAGCCTCATCTTTCTCCCAAAGAGCCGCTGGTAGTTTCGAACTGCTGACCTTAAGGTTCACAGCCCGATTCCTAACCACTATGCTATTATCTGTACTTTATTGACTATGCAAAGATTTTTGGTTGTGTGGATCTCGACAAGCTATGGAGAACATTGTGGAGAATAAGTATTCCAGAACACTTAATTGTGTTCATGGGGAAACTACAGAGACCAAGAGGCAGTTGTTCAAACAGAACAAGGGAACACTGAATGTTTTAAGATTAGGAAAGTTGTATGTTAGGGCTATATTCTTTCATTATACTTATTGGATCTGTATGCTAAGCAAATAATCCAAGAAGCTGGATTATATGAAGAAAGGTGAGGCATCAAGATTGGAGGAAGATTAGTCAATAACTTGCAATATGCAGATGATACAACCTTGCTTGCTGAAGTGAAGAGGACTTATGATGCTTACTCATGAAGATCAAAGACTACGGCTTTGGGTATGGGTTCCAATTCAATGTAAAGAAAAGAAAAATCCTCACCACTTGACCAATAAACAACATCTATAGAAATGGAGAAAAGGTCGAAATAGTCAAAACTTCATTTTGCAGATCAACACTCATGGTAGCAGCAGTCAAGAAATTAAACGATGTATTGCATTAGGCAAATCTGCACAAGACCTCTTTAAAGTGTTGAAGAGCAAAGATGTCAGTTTGTGGACAAAGGTGTGCCTGATCCAAGCCATGGTAATTTCAGTAACCTCATATACATGTGAAAGTTGGACACTGAATAAGGAAGACCATAGAGGAATTGATGCATTTGAGTTATGGTGTTGGAGGGGAATATTAAAAGTACCATGGACTGCCAAAAGAACAAACCAATTTTGTGTTGGAAGAAGTACACCCAGAATGCTCCTTGGAAGGCAGGATGGCCCAACTTTGTCTCTCGTACTTCAGACATATTATCAGGAGGGACCACTCTCTGGAGAAGGATATCATGTTTGGTAAAGTGGAGGGTTAGAGAAAAAGAGGAAGACCCCCCAACAAGATGGATTCGCACAGTGACAGCAGTAATGGGCTCAAATAATAGCAAAGATTGTGAGGTTGGCACAGAAGTGGGCAGCGTTTCATTCTGTTATGCAGAGGGTTGCTCTAAGTTGGTACCGATTCGATGGCACCTAATAACAAGAGCAAGGCTTAGAGAGATATGAGCCATGTGTCTTACAACAACCAGCCAGGACATGACAGAGTAAGATTCAAGCCCAGTTTTGGACAGTTCAGTTTTGTACAATTACAGCTTGAATGCTCCCGAGGAGGCCTTTCACTCTTATGCCCACTGCTGGCTCCCCAGGCTCTGGGTCCTGTGCCCTGGATGCTGCATCCTCCTGCTTGTTCCTACATCTTCTCCCCTTCCCATCACTATACCTTTGACTTTTTGCCCACTCCTCTCTTTTTTGCCCACCTCTCTCACTTGTATGCCTATTCACCCACACTCCACACAGAGAACAATGAGCTATCTTGGCACCACAGTCAGCTGGCCCATTCTCCACTGGAAGGAATCCAGTGACAGAGAAATTCATCAAGGAAGCCCTGAGGGACCTAGAAGTGGAAGAGATATTTCCTACTTCAAAGGGGCCTGAGTCCCTGACTGCCAGAGAAAGCCCTCTGAGAAGGGTAGGGGGGATTCTATTCTCCACAGGACCCCCAAGCCAAGACCCTCACCTTGAGAAGGATCCACAGTGGGATTCCTCCACAATAAGAACAGGGAGACTTTCTGATGGGTGTTTCAGTCTGTGCTAGATGACCAGACACTGGACTTCTACATCAGCCAGAACTCAAGTGTCAATCCCTACCCCTTCCTAGGAAGTGATCACAGCAAGTTTCAGGGAATGAGCTGGCTCTCACTATATTTTGCTCCTCATTGGCACATAGGTGCTAGGGTCTGACCTTGGAAAAGGGGTTTTCCCCAATAGGGATATGGTTCAACCAGAAGATGCTGCTGCTGAAAATAAGGTCATCACGGAACCTGAGGACAGGGCTTCTCTTCTGGGCCCAGCCAATAAGGTACTGGGGTGGACAGGCTGGATGAGGGCCAGTTATTGTTAGTGTGGAGCTGGCTCCTCATAAAATGATGGAAAGCTGCTCAGCATTCAGTATGAACTGTAGAGCCAAGGCCAAGATGAGGGGTAAGTGGGTTCCCTCCATTAGGTCTGAGAGAGAGAGATCTTAAGAAATGTTCAGAGACAAGAAAACAAACTAGACCAGAGGATAGGTATGAAATGTGTTTGATGATAAGTCTGGGAATAGGGGCCAAAAAATCTGAGATAGGGGGATAGGAAGTAGATCAGGACTAAAGGTGGGTTGAAGTGTTAAAAATAAGCCAAGAGAATGGAAATGGGTCTGGAGAATGAATTGGGGAGGAAGAAGGACGGCAACTAAAGCAGGATGGTGAAAGCTTGGGGAAATAAGAAAATCTGGCAGGGCTGGAAATCGGATGTGGGAGGTTAAGATAGGGCTGGAGAATAGGGTATAAGGGTGATGCTTGGAGGTCTTTCCCATGGTGCATGGGTGTTCCTCTCTTCTCTCTTCTAAGAAGTCTCCTTGGAGAAGGCTCTACTGGCACTGAGAACAGTTAGATGTCCTGCCTTTCCTCAGTGGGTGACCTTAACATTCCTTTTCTTTTATGATCTTCAGTTGTCCCACTTTCTCAAAGAGGGTACTAGATTAAAGGGGTTCTGAACCACCAAAAACCTATGATTATTGAAAGAGGTGCAATGTATCAGTTTCTGGAGTAGGTGATATCAAGGAAACCCTAGTCTCATGTTTCAGATTCCCAAGCGCAAGTCTCTGTATATCAGAACAGTTAACTGTGGAGAAGAAAATCAAATCACTCAGGACTCGTTGCATCCTATGTTTTAACTATATGAACAGTGGTGTCCAGTTTTGCTTTACATTAGAATTACCTGGAGAGATTTTGGGGAAAATGCTGGAGGCTGAAAAAGAACTATAGGATGACCAGAATCCCATGGGTCTCTAGTGATCACAGTGAGGAGCTGGTCACATATATACACACACACCAGAGAACTGTGCTTTCACACACTCTCACGTTCACACACACACACACCCTGTCACGTAAACATACCCACTCACAAATGCATATGTTTTCAAAGAACCAGACACTTTCAGACTCTCCCACCAACCTAATGCTCACATGCAGAATCAAACACAAGACCACAAACACAGTCACTGTTGCAAAGGTCCACATTCCAGCATCCTCCCTCTTTCAAAACCCCAGGCCAACGCATGTCAATTCTACAGTCCATTCTGCTTTCCCACACACATTCATGCCTCTTTACTCAGTACCCACATTGTCCCACAAACACACCCTCACATATAATCACAGCCAATGCATGTCATACCGGTCAACAATTGCAAACTCACAACCACAGAGACTTATATCACAGTCTCACACACAAATTGACACACACAGAACCCCATTTACATACTTACAGACATGCTCACATGCACACTCATTGTGAGAAGCAGGCATATTGACAGTTAAACACAAACCTACATAAGGTCATTAGCTTACAATTACATGCACACACATGAACTCGCAGTTCATATTCACAGTCACATAGCACTTGGCCAGATCTTCAAAATAGGCAGACTTCCCACATGCATTCATACCTCACCCATTTCCCCACATAGACATAGGAAGAAAGACACATGCTGTCAGCCACACACTGACCAGACTCTGTCCCGACGTTCCGTTATGACTTGACTCACCTGACTGTATTTATTACACAGCCAAGTGCATTCTGGAAGAATGGGTCACAGTTTCTGGGCACCAGAAAAGCGGCCCCATTCCTCTCTCTACCCCCAGGAATCCTGATCTTGGAGCTCCTGCTCTTCACTCCTGCTTGCTTTGGCTATTTTGAAGATTTGGCCAAGTGCTTTCAAGATCCCAACTATGAGTCTGTCCTCCTCATGGCCCAGAAGGGGCTCCATACCTCTCCATTGCCCAAGCGTGTGGTGGTCGTAGGAGCTGGCATGTCAGGTCTGGTAGCAGCCAAGGCCCTGCAGGATTCTGGCCACCAGGTGAGGAGACTTTAGAGGGACCTCAGTCATTTGCCTTCCAGCTTGCTTCAACTGGAAAAAGAAAATGAGTTGGACTACTGCCTACTCTTAGGCAACTGTACGTAACCCACTGAGTCTTTTAACAATTATTGTTTCCAAAAAAATATGAGTTAACCCATGAGATTTGACCCTAATTGCTACTTGTGCTTTAGTGAAGAAAGCAAGTGGAGCAGAGTTATGCTAGCAGGTGATCTGTCTCTTGCCTATCTGTGGAGCCTTCCTTCTTCATTTATATCACAAGAGCCTTAAGCCTAAAACATTCCCTGTTTGGTTATCCTGCACATGCAGGGGCCTAATGTTAGGAATTCCCAGTTAGAGTTTATAGCATGGTGGGGGTAGAGTACAGGATGGGAAGAAGGGAAAGGATGGCTCTGGGAATGACATCTGTATGCTGAGCAAATAATCCTGGATTATTTGCTCTGGATTCCAGGTAACCATCTTGGAAGCCAGTGACCACATTGGGGGTCGAGTAGCCACATACAGGAATGAGGAAGAGGGATGGTACTTTGAATTGGGTCCCATGAGAATCCCAACATCCCACAGGTAAGTCTGAGGAAAGAAATGGAACAAAGAGTAAGTAGGAGGGATGAGCATAAGGCAAGAAGGGCCCCGCTGCCATCAGGTCAAAGCCCTTACAAATTCACTGTTTAACCTGATTCAGTCCTGCATGTCAGGAATAAAACTCATGTCTTTGTTTAACAGAGAGAATGAGTTTCAGAGCCCAGATCACACAGAAATTGGTAGAGCCCAAATTAATAGTTATGTTATTGTTGTTAAGTGCCATTGAACTGGTTCCAACCCATAGCGACCCTGTAAAAGATTTCTAAGGAGCAGCTGGTGAACTTGAATCACCAACCTTGCAATTCAAACTGACTTTGCAGCCCAGCACATTAACCCACAGCGCCACACCAGGACTCCTGTAGTGAAGATAGTTACCATCAACTCATAAAATTCTATACTTGTAATATGAACAGTTTTTTATATACTAATTATATCTCATTAAGCTGTGAATAATAAAAGCAGCTACCATTTGTTGAATACTTACTATATGCCATAACCTAATACTAAGCCCACAGGGCATTATTTCATTTGATCCCTGTAGTTATTATTGGAGAAACTAGGCTCAGAGATATTAAGTGATTCACCCAAATTTCTCCTATGAGAAAGTGACAAAGCTTCTCCTCAAAGTCAAAATTGTATATTAAAACATAACTGACAAATGAAAGAGAACCGAGTTCTTGGTTTTGAGGCTTCCAAGGCAAAAGAGACCTCCAGCTTGGTGCCCTGTATGCCTCTACAATTATGACTTCTTAATGTGATGTTTTAAGTGTGAACTAAACTCAACATTTCCTCCAAATACCAACAAAAATCAAAATCAAGTGAACCAGATTAAACTAAGTCTTTAGATAATGCCTAGAACTTACTTAGAAACGAAAAATAGAATTCCAGATACTGTCTGAAACAAAAGTCCTCTATTTCTACATTTGAATTTTATAAGCTAGGATTTCCCAAGAATCTTTATTCAATAAAGGGTGAATTCACAACTGCTTATATCCCCTGGGGCAGAACCAGAAGGAAAAGAACTACTGGTGCATCAAGAGGAAACTAGATTAGAGTTGAAGAAGCACTTTGTCTGAACTTCCTGGGCACAATTTTCCTGGAAATCGTTTCTATTATAAGGTCTGAGGGAATGAAGTATAGTTGGGATGGGGTTCATGTCATATTGGTGTCTGCTTCAGGCTCGTCCACACCTATATCCATAAGCTTGGCCTGAAGTTGAACAAGTTCATCCAATATGATCCCAACACCTGGTACTTCATCAATGGAAAACGCTATCGCACCTGGGAGGTCAAGGCCAACCCAGAGCTCCTGGGCTACTCGGTGAATCCCACAGAGAAGGGCAAGAGTGCTATAAATCTCTTCCATCAGTCCATCACTAAGGTACCTCCTGTCTCACCCCTCCCAGTGCTGGGAAATAAAAGGGTGTGGCCTAAGTGCACCTAGAAAATTAGTGGGTGGGCCCAAGTCACCCGGTGCTCTTGTAATTATTGGTTTATCGTGCTTCTGAAATCCCTAAGAATGTTCCTATCTCTATCCCAATGCCCAGTGCCAGTACTTTTACTTTCCTTGTCCAATGCCAGTGGCAGAAAGAGTATCACTAGATCACTCAGTTCTTGGTAGTAAAAGTTCACCTAAAAGTTTAGTCTCCAAAATGTTTTTAAATAAAGAGGGGGATAGTTGTAGAAAGACGAGCATTTAGGGACTCCTAGAACCACCCTTCTCCCATCCTTACATCCACACTTCTTTGTCCCCATCCTCTTCAGAGTGATAATCAGAGAATCCTGCCTCTGGCTTATTGGCTGTTATCTAAGGCTTCTTATTGTTTTGCAGCTCAAACAAAGTCTGAAAACTTTCAACTGCAGCCAACTGATGTCCTTGTATGATTCTTACTCCACCAAGGTAAACGGTGCACAGAAGTTTCAGGATAGACATAGAGGGGCTCTTTGCTCAGCATAGTCCCCTGGGGTTGTCTTCAGGCTACCAAGACCTACCAAAGCTTCCATCTCCCTGGAGTCTAGCCCTACCCCTGGTCTGGACCTAGGTCCAGAACCTTGCTGAAGCTCTTTCTACATATTGGGTCCTCCACCTGGCATTTCCACACATGCTGACATCATCCCCACAGGCTTACCTGCTGAAGGAAGGGATGCTGAGCCGAGGAGCAGTAGAGATGATTGGGGATGTGCTGAATGAGGATGCTGGATACTATAAATCTCTCCTGGAATCCCTGAGGATTGATATGATTGTCTCCAACAGTGATGGGTGAGGCTGATCTGGGGTCACAGTGAGGATCTCTTCTGAGCCCTCTCCTCCAAGACTCAGAATGGAGAAAGGGAATGATAATTTACTGAATATTTATTATGTGCTGAGCACAAAGCTACCACTTTCTAAGAATCATCACATTTACTCCTTATGACCTCTTAAAAGGCATATATATCATGCAGAGCCATTTTACAGATGAGAATGCAGAGGTTCAGAGAAGTTAAGTTCTCTCTCTGAGCCAATTTTACCCAAGTTCACACAAGTTGGGTATAGGATAGAGTCAAACTCAGAATCCAGACCCAGGTCTGTGTACAACTCAGCCAGTGTTCCTTCCACCTGGAAAGCAGAATTGCATGGTGGCTGAATGTTGTGGAGTTAGATTTTCATGGGATATTGGGCAAGCGATTTCTCCATTCTGGGTGTCAGCTTTCCAAACTATAAAATTAGACAGTAATCCCTATTTCATAGGAATGAATGAAGGTGATGGATATGAAGTATTCCTCAAGGAGTGCAGGATATGAATGTCCTCTCTTTCAGACCAGAAACATTGCAGCTAACTCATATATTGATCTAACTAATGTACTCCCCACACTCACCCTCTCCCCTCACTTCACTCTTGCAGCTTCACTGAGATCACCGGTGGTTTTGACCAGCTCCCCAATGCCCTAGGTGCCAGCTTGGAGCCTGGCACCATTCATTTGAGGTCCAAGGTGGAGATGGTTGTGAGGAATGGGCCAGAAGTCCGAATTTCCTACCGTGTGGGTGGCCCCAACTCAGCAGTGCACTCCATCACTGCAGACTACATCATCATTACAGCCTCAGCCAAGGCAACTCGTCTTATCACCTTTGAGCCACCTCTCTCTCTACACAAGATGGATGCTCTCCGCTCACTGCATTACACCAGTTCCACCAAAGTGATTCTGGCCTGTAACGAGTCCTTCTGGGAACGTGATGGCATTCGGGGTGGAGTCTCTGTCACTGACCGGTCCTCACGCTATATCTACTACCCTAGTCACAGCTTGCCCAATGGCAAGGGTGTTCTATTGGCCTCCTACACTGTGGATGATGATTCTATGTTCTTCTTATCCATGCATCAAGACCAGGTGGTGGACATCGTCCTGGATGACCTGGCAGCTGTACACCAGCTGCCCAAGGAGACACTGCGGCACATGTGCCCGTCCTCTGTGGTCAAGCACTGGTCTCTGGACCCTTTCACCATGGGCGCCTTTGCCGAGTTCACACCATACCAATTTGTGGACTTTTCACAACAACTCTTCTTTCCAGAGGGCCGCATCCACTTTGCTGGTGAGCATACCTGCCTGCCCCACGCCTGGATAGACACTGCCATCAAGTCTGGGCTCCAGGCCGCCAGGGACATCCAGGCTTCTGTAGACAAGGAGGCTGCAGTGGAACACATGCCTCTGTTGACCAGCTAAGCCAACATCCAAAAAGATTCTTTCTTATCCTGACAGAATTCCCTGAGGGAACCTGGGAGGGAGCAGACTAGGAGGTGTGCGGAGGAGGCAGATATCTAGGAAGGAGGTCACTGTTATTTCCCCTGGGCCACAAGTAGGAACCCAACAATGCCAGACAAAGAAACAAGCTTTTAAATACATGAGAAACATGAGTCCTTTTCCTACTCCTCTCTCCTGGCAACCTAGGTAGGATCTATGAAGGGATAAAGGAGAACTCAGGATGACAAATGCTACCCCTCACTGTGGAAGAAATTGCCTCATGCTGCATAATAGTAATGAGTACAAAATAAAAGTTTCAACAGAATACTCCTTTCTGTCATCTGCGACTATTGTTGTTAGGTGCCACAGAATTCGTTCTGACTCACAGCGACCCTGTACACACAGAATGAGGCACTAGCCGGGCCTGCACCATCTTCACGATTGCTACGTTTGAGTCCATTGTTGCTCCAGCTGTGCCAATCCATCTTGTTGGGGGGCTTCCTCTTTTTCACTGACCCTTCACTTTATTAAGCATGAAGTCCTCCTTTATAGACATATGGTCAAGAGGAACCTTCAGGAAATGATTCCTCTTGACCTTATGTCTGTAAAGCATTCTGGTTGTACTTCTTCCAACACAGATTTGTTTGTTCTTCTGATAGTCTGTGATGCTTTCAGTATTCTTCTTTAACACCCTAATTCAAATGCATCAATTCTTATATGGTATCTCTTATTCATTGTCCAACATTCACATACATATGAGGTGGCTGAAAATACCATGACTTTGGTCAGGCGTACCTTAGTCTTCAAACTGACATCTTTGCTCTTGAACATTTGGAAGAGGTCTTTGCCATCTGCAAATAGAAGTTCCTAAAGGAAAAGACAAACCCCCAAACCACATTAAAACACATGGGTCACACACAAGCCCATAACACACATGAACTCCCTTATTGCATGCTGGAAACAAGAGACCTCCCATCTTGATCCAGTACAGAGTATGGGTGCATGGGAAAGAGTAAAATTCTTTTGTCTGCCTTGATGGAATCTTGACTCTTTAGAGATGTCTCCTGGTGCTCACTTTTCCCTTCCCACCTGACCTCCCCTTCACCAACTAGAACTCTTGGCTGCCACCTTTGTAGTCCATATATCATCCTGGGAGGACATCAAACCCATTTCACATGCCTTTTACCCCCTCCTCTGCTCCTCTCTAAAACCTGGCTTGTCCTTAGGCCCAATTTACGTTGTCCTCCCTCCTGAAATCCTTCTTTAATGACTCTACCCAACCCCTAAGTACTACCTTCCTTTGAAAGTTGCAGATTGTACTCTTTAGGGTCCCAAACATTGGGACTGTGGATTTTATTTTCTTTAATCTGTTGCTAGGGAGTCAATTCCAACTCACAGTAACTCCATGAGTTACAGAGTAGGAGGTCATAGGGCTTTTGGGCTATAATCTTTGCAGAAGGCGATCACTAGGCCTTTCTTTCATGCTGTTACCATGTGGGTTCAAACCAACAACCTTTATTTTAGGTGAGCGGTTCAGTACAAACTATTTTCACCACCCAGGGAGCTACTGTGATTTGGTTGCTTTACGAAGATGTGTCATCTCCCCAACTAGACCGAGACTCCTCAAGGACTGGGGTCATGTTTTGGATACCTTTTTGTGTTTCCATAATAGCCACAAAACACATCATGTCCCTTATCAATAAGTACCTACCATGTGTCAGGCACTGTGCTGAATGCTGAGGTGAAAATAATGAAAAGCATTATTAAATTGAATTAAACCTTCACTTCCACTTTTGTCCCCATGTCTCCAAGGACCAGTTCCCAAACTTAGCTGATTTTTTAATCCCGAATTCTTGGAAACAAATTCTGGAGAATAGCATAATAAAGTACCAACACAGAGTGTGGAGTTTTGCGATTGACATATTCATGGGAAGAAGGGAATAGAAAAAAGAAACCCACATTTTCTTACTTTTATTTAGTCCATTGTTAAAACTCTGGCCTTCTTCAGATTTTTTTATCCTATTTTGTATTTGTTCTTCTATCTTGGTAGTGTTGAGAAATTTATCTTCTAGCTCACTAGTTCTAGCTTCTATCTCTTCAATTCTATTCCTTTGCCCTTTCAATGTATTGTCCATTTCTGACATTCTATTATTAATCGTTTGGACCTCTTTCTGTAGGTTTTGAATTGTTTCCAATGCTGTATCTATCTTACTTGATTGTTCCTGTAGCACTTTCCTGACTTCTTCATTATTTTTCTCAACTGCATTGCATAGTGTTTTGATACCTTTTATAATCATTTTTAGGAATTTCTTCTCAGGCATTTCCAAAGCCTGCCCATCTTCCAGTATGGAGTGTAGGTCTACTTCCAGCTCATTTGCCTCAGTCACTTTATCTCGTTTCTGGACATGTGCAGATATGGTTGTCTGCTTCTGTTTTTTGGGCATCTTCAGGGGTTATCTGTGGCCTTAATACTTAGATGGGTGTGTATTTTGATGCTTTTTTATGCTTTCTGAATGCCTCCAAGTAGATGTGATCAGGAAAGGGGCTTCCCTTTTCACTCTTCTTCCTGAGAAATTTCAAGATACCACTGTTGGTCGTTTTGATGTAACTTAGGATTTAATTTTCGGCCTATTTCCTCTTTTGTCTGCTTGCCCCACTCCACAATCCCCGTTCAGGACTTGTTTCTAGTTGGAAACAGTTCAGGGCCGGCTGTGGCTGTTTGGTTTTAATTGGAAACTGTCTCTTTAAATTTTGAGGAGATCTGTGCGCATGCGTAGTAGAACCCTCCGAAGGTGGGGCTGGGGTGCCCACTAGCTCAGGCACTCCTATAGTCACCAGAATGGAGGTGCGCAGACAGCAAGGGTCCAATGAACAGCTACCAAAAGAGAAGAATGTCCACACCTTTATCTCAGCGGTTCTGCCAGGCATCTCTGGCCGCTCCGATCTTTCCCCCACGTGGTCTCACCCAAGATGGCGGCTCCTGGCGCAGCCGAGCATCCCGGACTAGAAAGCAATAGATTTCTTGCTTCTGCCACAAATTCCCCCAGCTGTGAGCCTTCCAACCTTCTAAGTATTCCTTTATATGTGGTTCAGAGTTCTGGGACCATCCCCTGAGCCTGCTTGTTCGGGTATTCTGTGTTGTTGTTGGCGGAGCTCTCTGCTATACGTCCACCTGATCCGCCATCTTGTTTGTTCTCCATGTTCCAATTTTCAATGGATGTTTACAGCTGTTTCTCTTCATTTTGAGTTGTGCGCCATCAGCAAATGAAGGTCCCACAGGCTTTTCTCCCATGGCCTTTACTCCATTTGCATCATCACAGTCAACTCTATTTTGAGGAGGCAGCTTTTCCCCAGTTGCATTTTGAGAAGTAGATAGTGACTAGCTATCACTGCTTACTAATTTGAAAAGGAGTTCCTGGATAGAGTGGGAAAGAAATGTGGAATGAAACTCAAAATGATAATAAAATTATGAGGCTTACTTGTCTGATAGAGACTGATGGAACCCTGGAGATATGAACCTTAGACACCTTTCAGTCCTGATACCAAATTCAAACCTGTGGCTCAACTTTCAGTCAAATATCTTATAAGGAGAACAATAATAACACCATGGAGGAACAGACTCCTTAGCACAGTCAACGATATGAGGTCCAAAGAGCCGTATTGGCCCAGGAATAAATCTCAGAAGGCAGGAAGGGATAGGAAAGAAGGACAAATGGAAATGGGAAACACAGGCAGGAAGTGGAAAGAGTGCTGTTACATTGTAGGAATGGCAATCAATGTCATAAATAGAAATGTGAATTCACTATGTATGAATTCACTCAAATCACAGCAAAAAGAAGAAGAAGAAGAAAAGAGTATGTTGAGTAGGTAAAAACAATAGACATATACACTGCACCTTCTCTAGGTCCCAGCATTGAGCTAAGTCATTTCAGGACTTGGTTAAGGCAATTTATTTCCAAAGCTAAATGGTCATGGCTACAGTCTTAATATGCATAGCATAATGGAAGAAAAGTAAATTATATCCTAAAACTTGGCTCCAGCAAGGAAGGAGCCTTTTTTCAAACTGTCTCCTGAACAGTTTATACTTGATAACTTACTTAGTGTTTCGAGAAAGGTCATCCCTTCCTTGAGACTCTGAGCCAAGTTACCAGGCTGAAGATCTTCCCAGCCCTGGGAGGAATCCTGGATCTAATGGAGTCCAGAGAGAAGAAAGGACAGAAGACAGAATGAGGGTGAAGGAAGAGCTCTGCAGAAGTTACCATGCATCCTCTCAGCTAAGAGGAGGATCTTAAAGAAGCAAGTCAAGGAAAGAATGAAGGAAACCAGGTAACAGGTCCAACAGAAAGAGCAATGAATTCTAGCCATTCTCTGTTGGATATAAAAATGAGACTTCACAAAGTCTAGAGTCAGCTGTGCAGAGTGGAGGGAATAGGGTGAAGGGAGAATGGATAGTGGAAGCGTGAATCAATTTATGGTTTAAAGGTAAATGATTGCTAGCACTTGAATATGCATATTAGGTAGAAGATGAAAAGGTACAGAGATATCAGAGGACTATTGTCAACTGCATGGATCATGACAAACTATGGATAACATTGTGAAGAATGGGTATTCTAGAACACTTCATTGTGCTCATGAGGAACCTGTACATAAACAAAGAGACAGCCATTAGAAAGAACAAGGGGATATGGAGTGATGTAAAATCAGGAAAGGTGTGCATCAGGGTTGCATTCTTTCAACATATTCAATCTGTATGCTGAGCAAACAATCTGAGAAACTGGATTATATAAAGAAGGACATGGCATGAGGATTGAAGGATGACTCATTAACAACCCGTGATATGCAGATGACACAATCTTGATTGCTGGAATTGAAGAGGACTTGAAATACTAATGAAGATAAAAGACTACAGCCATCAATATGGATTGCATTTCAATGTAAAGAAAATAAAAAATCTCACAACTGGACCAGGATAAGGAGATTTC